CATTTATCCCTCCGCCTTTCAACCAGCACCACATGTGATTATTGGCCAGGCTGGCACAATTAACTAACTCAGCACTGTTCAATAAAATTGTTACTAGAATGTTTTTCCAATGTACTCCCAACACACCTACGGAGGGCCTTCAAAAAGTTAGTGGAAGAAATGGAAAGAAAAGCCCATGGAAGTTTCCTACCTGTGGAAAAATGGAAGGCAACATTCATGGAAGCTCCCTGGTACGGGTGACTTGCCATGGCAACTCAGCTCTGACTCACGGAGACCCCGTCTGTGTCAGAGCAGCATGGTCTTCCCTATGGTTGTCAATGGCTGGTTTGGGTGAAGCAGATATGCCGGCATTCTTCCCAGGTGCCTCTGGGTAGACTTGAACCACCCACTTTGAACCACACCAGCTGAGTGTGTTAACATTTTGCAGCACCCGGGAACTTCCATGATCCATATAACCCAAAAAATGAAACCCAAGCAAACTCACTTCCAGTCTTGTCTATTCCCACTCATAGCAACCCTGTAAGGGTAGAGCAGTGCTGCCTTTCTAGGTTTTCTGAGACCTTATGTCTTTACGAGGGCCTCATCTCTCTCCTGTGAAGTGGCTGGTGGGTTCAAACCACCGACCTTGGGGTTAGATGTGGCAAATAATTGAATGGGTTACAATTCCTTATGCCCAATGAGAGCCCAGGCAGCCCAAGGAACAAATAAGAAAGCTTCTCCAGGCTGATAGAAATCTTCTAGGATGCTGCCTCTGGACCGAGTGCTCACTGAAGGGTTTCTGATCGGACATAGAACGATGTCCACAGAATGGATAACGTGGTCTGTAGGGATACTGCAATAATCAGGAGACCCATTCCACCAATGGGCTTTGCACAGTGCCCCTGACTCTCTTCCCCCAAAAGTGAGGAGTGAGGTGAGGGGGAGAAATGGCCAATCCTTCCTCTGGGTCCACGAAAGCCCACGACGTGGAGCCAGTTTTGTGGGTTACTTAGTGAGAAGGTCTTGTTGCCAGCATGTGCCAGGCCCCTGGACCTCAGGGCTGGGCATCTCCGAGGCCGATGCCTGAGGGCTGACCATGCAGCGTGGGGTGGTATCGGGTGACTCGGTCATGCCTCCACTCCTGTTCACCCCAAGTTGCTCTCCTTCCCCCAGCCTGTCCCCATCGACGACACCTTCTGTGGACTGGACATCAACCAGCCACTGGGCGGCTTGACTCCAGTGGAGGGCCTGACCCTGTACACCACCAGCCGGGACCGCATGACCTCCGTTGTCTCTTATGTCTACAATGGCTACAGCGTGGTCTTTGTGGGGACGAAGAGCGGCAAGTTGAAGAAGGTAAGAGTCTGAGCTCACACACAGGAGGCTGGCTGGCCAGCTCGTTGGCCAAGAGTTCCTTCTGGAGGTCACTGTTGAAGGAGATGGAACTACTGGCAACTCTAGGCTCTTACTGTTCCCCAGAGGGTGGCGGTGGGAAGGAGGTAAGCGTAGCAGACGAGGCTGGTTTTGTGGATGGCATTGTGGATGTTTTTCTAATCGCTCTCACAGCCATCCGCCCGTGGGGGTCGGGACAGCACGAACATAGTTCAGTATTGCCCAGACCTCAAGATGTGCGGAAGGTGTGTCTGCCCTGTGGGAGGGGCATCGCTTGTCATTCTGCCTTGAATCAAATAGGACTGATTTGTTCCCATGATCTATGTTATGGATCAAAATCCCTCCCCTGCCTGTACTGGTCACAAGACGTTACTGAGTTGAGAGAACATGGTTGAAGCACATGCTGGACCCCGATGTTAAGACCCAGGGGCAAATGGTAGTGCCGAAAGGCCGACCTCCAGGCTCCTGTGTGACGGCACCCTGAGACTCTTCCCTTGTCCCAGCCCGGGATGGACCTGACCTCCAAGCAGGAAGTCAGCCATAGCTCCGTGCCTTCCCCAGGCTATCTAAGGCTGGCAGAACGGAGGGGCCTCGTGTGTGGCAGCAGAAAGCCAGCAGCTTGTACCTGCTTGTCTAGTGCTTAGGGTGGGAGGAGAGGGAACGCAGTCTGGTTCATTAGGAGGGATTACAGCAGCTGAGTTCTTTCCGGTCCCAGCTAATCCCCCTTTCCCAAGCTCACCCCCCTGCCACCTCTCCTCAGTCCTGCCACCTGTGGTTAGAGGCACTGGGGCAGGGGGTGGGGTGGGGGGTGGGTGTCTTCCTTGCACCTCGTGCTTTGATGTTGACATCCCCCCCAGGACTCCTTCTTGCTAATCCTTTAGAGCCAGAAGGGTGGGGAGTTGTTTGGGACTGTGTAGAAGAAGGTGGTAAGGGCTGCCTCCTGGGGAGGAGCTGCCACCATGTCCTGCTTGTTCAGTGACTGCCAGGGCAGTTGAGAGAAAAAGGCTCTGCTCCTCTGTTCAAGCCACTCCCCCCCACCCCCACCCCAGGGCTTTTCCTGGGCTCCTGGGATCAGAGCCATTTAACCCTTTCCTGGCTCAGTAAGAGGTTCCTCAATGGCCCCCACCATGCCCTGTGCCCTGTGTGGATCTGAGGACTCTAGTGTGGCTTTGGGCACATGCAGGGGAGGATAAGTGTGGTTCCTGAGTTGGTTTTCCCAAAATCGGGAGGAAACGAGATTCTGTAAGAGGGATATGAAAACTGCACACTCAGCTCAGAGTTCTGGGCTCGTACTTCTCTGGGGTCTTCACATAGGACCCTGCTGGTTGCACCTGGCAGAGGGGATTTGGGCCAAAGGGTCTGGTAGGGTATAAATCCAGTCTGAGGGTCCTTTGTCAAGCCAGGTGCCCTGGAGTAGTCCAGACATCTGCCCGAAGGAGCTCCTCTTACCAGTTCACCTGCTCACAGAGACCACTTTCTTCCATGATCTTTGCAGGGCCATGTACAACTAGAGCTAGCCTGGGGCTCCACCTCCCCCACCCCCTTCTTTCTTCCACCCACCTTGAATCTCTGCTCTGGAAAATATTTATGACTCTGTCTCCTTCCTTCTCTTGAAAGTTCTTTCCTAGGTGAGAGCCATACTGACTCATACTCATATAGGCTCGCTCTCTCTCTCTCCTCTCAGGGCCCCTCTGCCGAGTGCTCACACGTAGCCAGTACCCATCACTGCTTTGCAAAACAGACCCATTGTCTAATAAGGAACTTCTAAGAGTAACCGGCTCAGTGCCCTGCTTGTGCTGCAGGGAAACTGAGGCCCAGAGAAGAGACATGACTTAGCCCAGCATAGAGACCCAGGACAAGCCGCTTCTTGCCCTGACACCAATCTAGCACTCTTTTCACTTAACACGGTGACGGTGGAGACCAGGGTGGGGTCTTGAGGATGCTCACCGGGCCCAGGCTTGCCGCAGAGTTCAGCCAGAGGCTAGGGCCCCCACTCCCTTCAGCCCTAGGCTCGGGTGAGGAATTCACTCACATGTGCTGCATGACTGACTGAGGAATGAGCAAAGGAGTGGAATAGCCTGCCAGACGCACGGCGATGCTTGGGCTGCTCTTTCCCATGCCTCTGTGCATCTTGTGCAACGCACTGGGGGCTGCTGGGAACAACGTCTCAGGCCACACAGCCAAGTTGGCCAAGTCCTCTCGGACATGCTGGGGCCCTGGTGGACAAGTAGCTATGGGGACAAGTCAGCAGGTTCAAGGGCAAGGCTAGAGGCGTGGCTGCCTGTGGCTTGTTCCAACCTGCGAATTGGCTGCTCCGCTTTGCTTCTCACTTGGCCCTTTGGCTGTTGGGATGAGCTCATCACACCCCTTCTTTCTCTTCTACCCAGCTCACCCTGCCTTCCCACCCACACTCCTCTCTGGGTGCCTCTTGCTCATTGCCTGGCTCCTGCTGGCCGCCCCTTTATCCCAAGCTCACCCCCAGAGACACAACCTAAGAGGAATTCCTGGAATGTCCCCAGGAAATCCAACCATGGTCCAAGCCCCATAGATCTTTCAACACAGGAAGGAAAATTTTTAAAAAATAGCCAAGAGTTTGGAGAGGCGAGGAGGGAATCAGCTGCGTCAGAGCAACTCACTTCTCCCCTGGCAGGGGTGTCTGTCAGCCTGTCCAGCGCTCTACCACAGCAGTCCTTAGGAACAGGATGTCCCGCGGTCGGTCGGGAAGTTTAGAGGAAGCAGGAACTAGCCAGAGGAGCATGACTACAGGGGCTGTTCTGGCCGCGTCACGTCACATACTCCCCCTATACCTCGCTCTCCTCTAGAGCATCACAGGGCACACCCAGCCGCCTGAAGCCCCAGGCCCCAGAGGAAACACGTAGAATAGGAACAAGACCTCCAAACCAAGATGGGAAACCCTTACACGGGCTGTAGGGGCCAGGCATTATAGGTGACAAGAAGGCGGGCAGGCCAAGGTTCCCTGGGGGGTGGAACAATGCAAGTAAAACCAAGAGCTCTGTCTATCTAGTGTGGTTAGTCTGGAAGGTTTTCATGAGGAAGACGATTCCCCTGGGCTGCTGAAGGGGTGGATGGGACTGCTGATGTAATGAGTTTGGGGTGGGGGAGAGAAGGGCATTCTAGATCTTGAATGCCACGGAGACATGTCTGGAGTGTCCAGAAGGGGACTCTTAGGAGACTTTGTTTGGTAGCAGCTCAAAGGCAAAGGGTCCTGGGTGTTGAACCCACTCTAGGCTCAACAGAAGCCAACTGTGCGAGAGAGCTTCCGCAAGGGCAGTGTTCACCAAACTAGCAGCAGAGCCATTTCTACATCCTGAGGAGCAAAGCGTCCACGTCCCGTCCTGTGAGGGATGATAGCATGGTGAGACAGCCTTAAGCAAACGGCAGCATGCACAGCGGGTGACCAAGAGCTGGAAGGAGGTGGGAATCTGCCACATGAACAGTCCTCCTGAAAGGATGATGGCCCAAGGGGAAAAGGGGGGCAGGGGGAGAAGTGGCTCTTTTCTGACAGTATGCTTTAGTGAGCATTTAGTATGTGATAAGGAGGCCTGGTGATGTAATGTTACATGTTGGGCTGCTGAGGCCAGCAATTTGAAACTAAGAGCTGCTCCACAAGAGAAAGATGGGGCTGTCTCCTCCCGTAAAGAGTTACAGTCTTGGGAACTAATAGGGACAGTTCCACCCTGGCCTATAGGGTCATTATGGGTTGGCATGGGCTTAATGGCAGTGAGTTTGGTTTTGGTTTGGTGTGATGTGCTGTTATAAGAACTTGAGGTCTCCCTCATTCTAGAGGACTCTATGAGGTAGGTGCTATTATCATCTCCATTATACAGACGAGGAAATGGAGGCCAAGAAAACATAAAGAAGCTTGTCTAAGACCAGACAGCAAGTAAGTGGTGGAGAAAGGATTTGAACCTAGGCTATGTGGTTTCACAGCTTGCTGATAGTTTCACAATCACCTCGTGTGATTCAGCTGTGCAAGATGAATTAGACTTGTTTTGTGTGACGCCAGAGGGGAGAATAAGGCCCAAAAGTGGAAGTTATAGTAAAGCAAATTTGCCCTTAATATATAAAAAAGGCATGTCTTACACCCACACTGTTCCATAATACAATTAGTTGACTTGAGAGGGGCTGAGCTCCCAGTCAGTGGAAACAGCCAAGCAGAGATGGGAGGATGATCCGTCAGGGATGCTGTCAAGGGACCGATCCCTATACTGAACCAGATGAACTCTGTGGTCTTTCTGCCCCTTTTAGAGTAGGAGTGTTAGCCCTTCAATAGGAGAGAGCAGGGCACACTGTAGCAGAGGAGAGAAGCCAAGCGAGGAAGGCCAAGGGGGCCCAGAGATGGACTTTGAAATTAAAGCTGGGTGGGAGCCTGCCATCCGAGTATGGAAAGCCCTTAGGATCAGGTAGGAGGTGCCTGGCCCAGACAGGGTAAAGCCTGGCCAAGATGCTGGGGGCAGACTGCCTCAGAGCCCAACGTAGGATGGGAGAATGCAGAGTAAGTAGCTGGGGGCCTGGGCACACTCTAGGGTGATGACGTCCCTCTTGGCTAAGATGAGGCCCCAGAAATCCAGATAAGCAATTCTGGGAGCCAGCACCAAGCCCAGAGGAAGGGTGGCCCCAGGAACCGGAAGTTCAGTTGATAAGACCTCCCTTGTTTGAAAAGAGGGAGGAGTCAAGGAGGCCATTCAAGAACAAGTGCCAGAACCCAGGCCAGACGGCCGGCCTGCTGAGGAATGGGAGATTGCGGGCAGGTGGGAGTGAGGATGTGGGAGTGAGGTTCAGGAGAACGTCCCTCTTCTGGTTCCTTCTGTCCATTGAGAGCTTCTCAGCCCACAGCCTCGTCGTGGTATCCGGTTCAGCTGCGATCCTGGAGATCCACAGTTCAAAATCACCAGCCACCCCATGGGAGAAAGACAGGGCTTTCAACTCCTGTAATATAGTCT